AGGTTGAGCTGTTGTTCAGCATCTTAGCTGTAGAGGGCAGTGTCACTGGCCCTCATATGTGGGATCCGAACCAGGGCCCTCTGGCATCTCAAGCCAGTTCTTAACCATCGCGCCACTCGGCCAGCCCTTACACGGGCTCTTTTGATGTCAGGTGTGGCCCAGCCTTCTACCAGGCAAAGATTTGGGACGGTTTGTACAACATGGCAGAGCCAATGCCTTTCTTCTCCTGCCTTTCAGGGGATTCCAGATTCCAGCAACCTACCCTTGATAGCAAGCTGGGAGACCTTCTTGCTCTTCTTTGGTACAGCCATCTTCACGTTTGAAGGTGTCAGTATGGTAAGATTAATGTGAGGTCTGAATGCGTGGTCCCTAGTGCTCCCGAGGGAAGCCAGCCATTGTCCCAGATGACTAAATAATAGTATTTATGAAAAGTGTAGAATAGGACCTTCTCCTGGCAGAAGGAAAAGCCAGGACGCATTCACAGGGTGCCAACTGCCCCATGCACTACGAAACTCAGAGGACTGAGTGAGAATTTCCTCACCAGCCCAGAAGGAGGAGGGCACTCCTGGTAATAGAAACTGTGGAGGAAAACAAAAGGGGGTGTGGCCATGTGGAGAGGCCCCTTCCTGACCCATGGCCACCTGGCGGACGATGCCTGTGCTAGTGGGGACGCTGCCCCCATCACAAGGCTCCAATATCTCTTTCCACCTTTTCTTTCACAACCTCATTTTACCGCCAGGTTCTGCCTCTCAAAAACCAGATGAAGCATCCACAGCAGTTTTCTTTTGTTCTGTACTTGGGGATGCCCCTTGTCATCATCCTCTACATCTGCCTGGGAACGCTCAGATATATGAAGTTTGGGTCAAACACCCAGGCCAGCATCACCCTCAACTTGCCCAATTGCTGGTACGTCCCTGCCTGCCTGGGTACCCCTGGGATCTGAGACTCAGCAACAAAATGTGGCATTCCCTTGGGTTGTCATTAGCAACAAATATTAACTGCTTATGTTTGTATTTTCATAACAGGTCAATTCGAGAACCCAGGCACTTGCATTATCTCATTTCATTCCCACAACAGCCCTAAGGAGATAGCATGATTATGATCAATTCCATTTAACAGATGAGGAAGTTGATATTTGGAGAGATAAGTAACTGTCCCAGCTCACGTTGTTTGTGAGAAGCCGAAACTTGCAACTGAATCTGTCTGACTCTGTGGTTCAAAGGCCCTAAAACAGGCGTGATCTGGAGTGTTTGAGAAACAGAAACAGCAACAACAAAAAGTCTAAGTCCAGAGTAATGATTGAGGGTCCTACAGATGGACCACTCCTTGGGCCCCCAATTCCAGAAATGGACCCAGGCTGCCATGGCTATGTCCTCACTGGAATTTGGTCTGGAGTTCTTGCATTCAGTCATTTTTCATTCATTTACTCATTCACTCATTCATCCAGGAAACATTTTGGGCACTGGCACATCGTATTCCTTGAGTGTTAGCTATTCTTATTATTCTGGCAGTATTGGGTGCATCGTGGCTAAGCAGTCAACGGAGCCACGTGTGTGAGAGCACAGGTTCTAAAGCTGAGAAACGAGATTTGCATCCTGGTTCTGATGTGACCTTGGACAAGCTACCCAATCTTGTAGGCCTCATTTCCATCCTCTAAAATGAGGGTACTACTAATGCCTATTTGTTTCAGTCACAATAGATTATGTTCCAGGAATAAACAACTCCAAAATCTCAGTGGCTGAATACACACAAATGCTTAAAAATATGCTCATGCTCCCTGTCCATGATGGGATGGCTGAGGCTCAGCTCTGCACCCTCCCCAGTCCAGGGCCCAGACTGACGGAACAGCCACTACCTGAAATGTTGCTGGTCGCCATGCAGGGAGCACGTGAATCATGCCCTCGACCTTGAAGCTGCTAAAGTATACATTTCTTCTGCTCACAATTTACCAGTCAAAGCAAACGACATGGCCACACCTCCCTCTAAGGGGCAGGGAAGTGAAATTCCACCATGTGCCTGGAAGAACTGGAGACATTTGTTGAACAGCCTAGATGACTTCCACGCTATCTCAGGGAGTGATTGTGAAGATTAATTGGTTTAATATACAGAAAATGCTTAGAAAAGTGTGTGGCACATAGTAAGCACTCATTGAATGTTCACTATTATCATGGCCACGTGTCCCCACAGCCTGGGACTTTCCAGGTGAGTAGGATGGTGGGGCATTCATTTTCCACAAGGCCAAAGCTACAGAATGAGAAAAATATTGCCAGCCCCACCCCCTCACTGTGTTGTGATAATGGCGAGATGAGAGAGAATAAATGTGGAATTTCTTAGCAGTTGCAGCTTATTTTACACAAGTCCGATATTATCTTATGAGGCTGTTCTTATTCTGGGCAATTTGAGCTGCTCCTAGCTACTTCGGGCAGGACACTTTTCTTCCAGGGGCCTCAGCTGGAAAATGTGGGCATCAGGTGCCGTGAGGGCTTCCCACCTGCTTTGAACTTGGCCAGTCATGACATTCTCCAGAGGAGCCTTAAAGAACTGATAAACTTCCCTTTCCAATAAGAAAAAGACCAACAACCCAAGAAAAAATAGTCATGAGCACACAGTTCACAGGCAAATCCCCAAAATGGTATTTTATATATTGGAAAAGATGCTCTCTGTCTCCCTCTTAATAACAGAAATGCTAATTTTTAAAAACCCAGTGGCAAACAGCAGCATGTGTTCACACTGTTTTGGCAAGGATGTGGGAACCAGCCCTCCAACATGCTGGAGCAACACAGGGGCAATACATCAACGGCTTTCACAATTTTAAATCACATACACTCATACCCAGCATTTTTACTTCTAGGGTTGCATACCATGGGTGCACAGATATTGTATATGTACAAGGCTATTCTTTGCAGCATTGCTTACTGGCAAAAGACTGGGAATAATCTAAATATCCATTAATTGGTGACTAGTATATCCATGCAATTGGACTACCAAGCAGCTGTTAAATACAAGAGCCAGATCTATGTGTACTGATAGGGAACAAACCTCCAAGAAATATTTAATGAACAAAAGTGGAGCTCAGCAATGTGTAGAGGATGCTACCGTGTGCGTGCGTGTGTGCGTGCGTGTGTGTGTCCGTGTCCCTACATTCTGCATAAGCTTGTATATCCACTGATTATTTCTGGAAGGGCTACAAGAAAACTGGGAGAGGGATTGCCTGTGGGAAGAGGAGCTGGAGGCTGGAGGGGTAGGAGGAAGGCTTTTCACTCTATGGCTTTAGCACTATGCATTTGACTCTATGCACATATACCCTTTTTAAAAGCTAAAAGAAAAAAGGCACATGTTTCTGAGCCACAGACTTGTTGAATCAGAATCTCCCATGTGGCTCTGATGGCAGGTCAGGCCTGCGTCAGTGGAATTTAGCCCGTTCTGTAACCCAGTGACAAGTGCCAGCTTCTGAACAGTCAGTGAGCCCTGCATGGCCCTGCCCAGACGCCATGTCACATCTCATGTCCTATCCACCTGTCTGCAGGCTGTACCAGTCGGTCAAGTTGATATACCCTATTGGCATCTTCTTCACCTACGCCCTCCAGTTCCAAGTCCCAGCTGAGATCATCATCCCTTTCGTCATCTCCCAGGTGCCAGACAGCTGGGCACTGTTTGCAGACCTGTCTGTCCGCACCGCTTTAGTCTGTCTGACCTGTGAGTAGGATCAAAAAGCACTCTTTGCCCAAAGCTGTGGCTGGGAGCCACATTGGCATCAACCCACTCTCATTGGCTCTGCCACTTACCTTCTTTGTGAGCTTGGGCAGCATACTTTACCTCCCTGGACCTCAACTTGCCACCTGAAAAAATGGGCTCAACAGAGAACTCCCACATAGTAAATGCTACAGTAATCCCTACTGCCGACCCATAGAAAGTATACCTTGGCTGGTTTGTGGGAGAAAGAAGGATTATTCATTCAGTCACATTTCTATATGCCTCTTGTATGCCAGGCTCAGTACTGACAATATCTAATCCTCATGACAGCCCAGCAATGTCATCTCACCAAGGGACGAAACTGGCCCAGAGAAATCAAGTACCATGCTCAAATCCTACCGCTGCTGAGTGACAGAGCTGGGATTTGAATGCAGGTTGTGTAGCACCAAAGTCTGTGTTTTCCATTGAGCCATATTCCTTCCTATCATAAATCAAGGTCAAGTCGCCTGTCATAAAGCATTGTTTAACTGTAGGGAAAACCCCAAGAGGCTGATTTGTTAAGGTCTTGGAGAAGATCATCTTTTGGGGTGCACTCTTCTCCCTTCCACCCTCCCTCCCTTGGTTCTTTCCCTCAGGCCTCCTTCCGTTTGTTTCTTCACTCATTCATTCTATATTAGGCACTATAGTAGATGTTTGGGAAATATCATGAACAGGGATGAGGGATTCTTTTTCTGAAAGCATGTCCAGAGAAAGATCAGAGAAGGTGTCCCATGAGAAATGAGGGAGAGAACTAGGGATGTTTTACCTGGAGAAGTGAGGGTTGGGGGGAATTCTATATCTGTGCTCAACCACCTGTGGGATTATTGTGAAAGAGAAAGCACACTGAGTCCTAAAGCCTCCACTAGTCAAGAGTCTAAAGTTGAGGGAATCCAGTCTCCGTTCGGGGTCAGGAGAAACTGTAACCCTTGGAGCAGTCCCACAGAAGAACATGCTATCAGGTGTTACATTTCACGTAACTGGAATCCTGTAAGCAGAAACAGCACAACTGTTTGGCTTAAGGTGTTACAGAGTTCTTAGTCTGTACCAAGACATCAGAAACCTGTAAATATATTGTTTTGTGACCCTTCCTAATAAATAGGGTGTAAGTTGAAGAGAAAACAAAACAAAACAAAACGGTTTGGGCCTCCAGGATCAGGGAAGGCATCGCTAGAGACAGCAGGCTGAATAACATGTCCAGCTTCTGGTATACGCTGAGTGAACACTTCCTCCACCCTTACTCATCTGCCAATTCCGTTACCTTTCACTCATTCAGCAGTCATTTGTTGAGTACCTCTTATGTGCTTGACATTGTGCTAGGCACTAGGGACACAATGAATAATGAAGACATGGCTCCTGCCCTCATGAGGCTTACAGTTGAGTGGGAAATACATGCAAGAAATTAATGACAGCCCCTTGTGATGAATGTAAAGATGGTACAAAAAGATGTACCATCTGATGGTTAAGATCATGAGAAGAGGATACCCTAAGAGCATATAACAAGGTCCTATAACTCAGCCTGCCTGGGTCAGGTCAGGGAGTCCTGTCGGTAGACTGATAGTTCAGTTAAGACCTAAAAGATGGAGGAGTGAGGAGAATACGACATATAGGGAGCAGGCTCTGCACAGATCTGAAGCAGATACTTAGGTCTGGCCTCTTTGGGGAACTAAAAGCAGTGGGGAGTGATAAAACATGAAGCCAGAGGACTTGGCAGGGCCCAAATCCTAAGGGACCTTATGCTAAGCAGATCAGGCCATGAGGAGCCATGGAAGGGCTCTGAGCAGTGGGCTGGCATGACCACACCTGACTCGTGTAGTGCACTCCTCCAGTCTACCTTGTATAGAGCTTCCTTGAACGTGTCTTCTCTGCCCTGTCACTGCAAGCTCTCCCGGAGGACAGACACTGGTTTTTCTCTGTACCTCCTCCTGTAAGGAATTTATTAAACATCTGATGAAGGAATGCTGTGGATGGGGACCATCCCATCAGAAGGATGATGGGTTCTCAACCGTGAGAGTCTATGAGTCTCTCTGATTCTCTGACTGGATGTGTTGGAGCAATTGCAGAAAGATCCAGTACACTAGTAAGGGTGCTTTCCAGAACAGGTTTTCCCTGATTTGTTCATAGGAAAATCAAATGGTTGTCTAAAGTTGAATCACATAAGATGTATACGTACTCATTCAAACATTATCAAAATTGGACTCCCCTGGGGAACCCGTGATATATGTTCCGTTGTTTAAAAGATGGAGATTTGAGTGTTTGTAGAAGAGATGGGAATGAGTAGCCTAATGCTGTCTTCATGTCCTCCTTAACTATCCATATCCTTCTAAGAGTAAGAAAACAAGTGGTTGAGATTCTGACAACAATGAGCCATCTCTCATTTTTTAATCCATCCTTGCTTCTAGACCGCAGCTATATGATGTAGATTAGTACAAATTCACTGTAGATTCAGTGTCTGGGTAAGAGTCAAGCATTTGATGAATACCTATGGTGTACGAAATTCTTTCATATAAATGGGAGGCAGCACAGTAGAGTGGAAAGAGCATTTCAGTGGATTCTTATCTCAGTTGTGTGACCTTCAGCACGTCCAGTTCCCTCTGGTGCTCCAGGTTTCCCCATCTCTACAATGAGAAGGTTATAATAGAGGTGGCAGAAAGGCCTTTCCAACAAATATTATATGCGATAAACCCAACGGTAAACATGAAAGGAGAGCATCTATGTTGGTAGTTAAAACAAGTGGGCGTCCAGAGCCACAGTACCTGACCTCAAGTCCGCAATGGGCTCTTTCCCATCTCTCCAAAATGGCTTATCAAGCATCTGTGGAATTATAAGGTGCCAAAGAAATGGTTTATTCCTGAGCTCCCTTCTTGCAGATACCTTCAGGGATTCTAAATTTCTTCTCTCTGCAGGTGTCTCCGCCATCTTCATCCCCCGCCTGGACCTGGTCGTCTCCCTGCTGGGCTCCGTGAGCAGCAGTGCCCTGGCCCTCATCATCCCGCCCCTCCTGGAGATCACCACCTTTTACCCTGAAGACATGGGCTGGGTCACCATCGCAAAGGACATCATGATCAGCATCCTGGGCCTCTTGGGGTGTGTATTTGGAACATACCAAGCCCTCTATGAGTTGATCCACCCCATCAACCATTCCATGGCCAACTCCACAGGTGTCTATGCATAATTATCTATTTTTATTCCAATAGATCTCCCTTCCTCCCATCCCCAATTTGATTTTCACTGTGGATGTTATATTCATTAATCAAACCTCAACATCTCTATATTAATTAGTGACTTCTTTATCTTTCCAAGAGAAATGTAGATGACACAAGTCAGTAGTGATACCTCTCAGTGGTGCCTTTTGTGGTTTTGGATTTTTTGGGGTTTTTTTGTCTTTTGTACCTCCGAACCAAAACCACATTCATATTATCTGCCTCATTTAATGGGAAAAGGGATGTCATTCACCTGTGATATCCCTGAAACAGAGACCAAGCATAAATGTAAATGCAAAAGCAGTTGTTTTCTGTATTCAGAGTAGCTGCCCTTAAAGCAGCGGTTCTCAACCTGTGGGTTGCGACCCCTTTGGGGGTCGAACAACCCTTTCACAGGGGTCGCCGGGTACTCGCATGTGGGCGTATCTGCATGTGGGCCTGGAGATGGATAGAGGAGCGGTGTCTCGGTTCCTAAGACCATCGAAAATATGTGTTTTCCAATGGTCTTAGGCGACCCCTGTGAAAGAAAGGTTGAGAACCGCTGCCTTAAAGGATTAGATTTAGAAAAGTGTGTGTTGGGGAAGGGGGTTTTCTATTTAGATTTTCTTCTAAATGGAAGAGTCACAGATAGAACAGAAGAAGAACTTAGCAGTAATTTTGTCCAACCATTGGTTCTGCCACTGATTTCCTATGGGATCTTCATCAAGTTCCTCCCTCTCTGTCTTTGTTTTCTCATCTATGAAATGAAGGATTGGACTAATTGGTTATTAAGGACTCTTCCAGCTCTTCTGAAATTAAAAAAAAAATGGAAATTAATTTATCCTTTAACCTCGTGTAAAAACTGAAGTGTTTTCCATCAGCAAGTTCCCCTGTTTCCTTGGAGATATGGACATATCAGATGTAGGTTAATAAATAAAAACAAATCTCTTAGTGATCTTTCATCATTATGGTGACTTCCCTACCTAGAAGGACAACATCTATCTATCTATCTATCTATCTATCTATCTATCTATCTATCTATCATCTTTTTTCCTTCTCTGATATCTTAAGGCCACTTAGAGCTGATTTAGGCTGAAGGGGCTGAGAAGTTTGTATGGTCAAAGATTTCATCATGTGCAAGGACTATTGACCTTCTTTAAAAAGATAATACTTAGTTTTGGGAAGGGTTTTGAAAAACAGACAATCTTATACTCTGCAGATGGGTGTACACATTGTTAAGGATTTTCTGAAGGACAATTTTACAACACATAAGTCTTAAAATGTGTGGCCCTCTGACTCACTAATTTCACTTCTGGGAATTTATCCTAAGAATCTTTCATGTTTACAAAATGTATGTCAAAGGAGAGTTTGTATTGTTTATAATAGTAAGAAGCTGGAAACAAATATCCAACATTAGGTCACATTATGTTCATCCAGAACAAAATGCTGATATGCCCCCAAACATCACAAAAAAATGTACCTATTGATATGCAAGTGTATTTGTGGTTTATCAATGAAAGAAAGCAGCTTAAAAACACTATGTGAACCAACACTAGACAAAAATATTACAAGAAAATAAAGCTGCAGACCAAAATCCTTCATGAACATAGATGTAAAAATTCTAAAGAAAGTTTCAGCAAATCAAATTCAACGGTATATTAAAAAGATAATAATCTTTTTATAAAAGATAATACATTATGACCAAGTGGGATTTATCCCAGGAATACAGGGTTGGTTGGTTTAATATTTGAAAATTCAATGTAATTTTCCATATTAACAAGCTAAAAAATATGTATGATCATCTCAATAGACAGAAAATAATTTGGCAAAATCCAATGCCTATACCTAATACAAAACTCCCTGCAATAGGAAGAGAAGGGAACTTCCACAATAGGAGTAAAGGGCACCTATGAGAAACCTACAGCTAATATTATACTTGAAGGGGAAAGACTGAATGTTTTCCCTATAAGATCAGAAACAAAACAGAGATGCCCAATCTCACCACTTCCAGTATTTTACCAGATGTCTAGACAGTGAAATTAGGCAAGAAAAAGAAAAGGCATCTAGATTGGAAATGAAGAAGTAAAACTGTCTTCATATGAATATGAAGTGATTTTCAATGTAGGAAATCCAATGGAATCTACGAAGAAGCTACTACTAATTGAGTTTACAAAGCTTCAGAATATAAGGTCAATATGCTAAATCTCTATACTAGCTGAGAGCCATCAGAAATTATGCTTATAGTAACATCAAAGATATGCAATAATTTGGGATCAATCTGATGAAAGATATGCAACACCTGCACTCTAAAGACTATAATATATTGCTAAAAGGAATTAAGATCTAAATAAATGGAGAAATACACCTTGTTCATTGGCTCAAAAGACTCATTAAGGTTAAGATGCCAATTCTGGCCAAATTCAGCTGGCACATTATTATTATTTTTTTAATGAATTGACCAGCTGACTCTAAAATCCATATAGAAATGCAAAGGACTTAGAATAGCCAAAATATCTTTGAAAAAGAAGAACAAAGTTGGAGGGCTAACACTGTCTGATTTCAAGAATTATAACAAAGCTACAGTAAGCAAAACTATATGGTGTTGGTGCCCAGAAAGACAAGTAGATCAATGGACCAGGATAGAGTCCAGAAATAAACGACCCATTTGTGGGTAACTGATTTTGACAAAGGTGCAGAGGCAAAGTAGTGGAGAAAACATCACCTTTTCAAGAAATGGTCCTGTAAAAGTTATTCATATGAAAAAAAAATCATATCCATACTTTACATCATACAAAAAAATCAACCCAAAATGGATCTTAGATCTAAATGAAAAACCTAAAACTATAAAACTTTTAGAAGAAAACAGGGAGAAAGTTTTTGTGAGCTCAGGTTAGGCAAAGACTTAGATACAATACCAAAAGCACAGTGTATTTGTGTGCAGTTCCTTTCATTTTTACCTTTATAGTATCCCATCAAAATACTGTAACTTATTTTCTTTCTCCATCCCTTTCGGTGTCGTTGTATCACTCATTCAAAATACAATTGGTTTTTTGGTTACTGTTTGTATTCCATATTGAATCTCCTGGTTGACTTGAATCATTTTGGATATAAGGAATATTATTATGGGTCTAAGAGTCGGAGTTATACAAAAAGATATACTCAGAAGTGTCTCACCCCTTCATTCTTTATACCTTGTTATCACTTCCCCCTTATTTCCATTACATTGCTACCTCTCTCAGTAAATAACTAATCTCATTAGTTTCTGGCTCATCTTTCCTTATTTTATACAAATGAGCTGATATAAGTATATTTTCTTATACCCTCCTCTTACATGAAAAGTAGCGCATTACACATTTTTGCACTTAACAATATATCCTGGAAATAACTATCAATTCACAGGTCTAATTTTTTTTTTACACACTTAAATAGTACTCTGCGTGGGTATGCCACGGTTTATTCAGACATTGTCTTATATATAGACATGCACGTTGTTTCCAATATTCTGTCACAATGCAGCAATGAATGAGCTTGTGCACATGTACTTTTATATTGTTGGAGGTGTATCTTCAAAGGAAATTCCCAGTAGTGGAATGGTTGGGTCAAAGGGTACTGACAAGTTGTTAGGTACTGACAAATTCCCTTCAGGAAGGGTTGTACCACTTTGCATTCCCACCAGCTGTATATGAGAGTGCCTGTTTCCCTACAGCCTTGCCTGGCACAATGTAGTGTTGTACTTTTTATTTTTTACCAATCTGAGAAGGTGATGTTATCTCAGTATTGCTTCAATTGACATTTCTCTAATCATGGATGAGTTTGAACATAGGAATATTAATGCTTTGTCTATGAGATTTGCTGCAAGTATTTTCTTCTTGACAAGCATTTTATTTTCATGTAGTCAAATGTATCAGTCTTTTACTACCTCTGGACTTGTCCGCTATGGTTTGGTTTTTGTACGGTTTCTTTTTTTTTTTTACATTTAGACCCTGCATCCATTTGGAGTTTAGTCTTCCATATGGTATGAAGTATGGATCTAATTTCAACTTTTTCCAAAATGATTCCCCATTGACTCAGCACCGTTTATTAAAAAGTCTCCTTTGCCCTGTGATTTGAGATTTCTCACCCCCTTCCCCACTGAGACCTGGAGGAGCTTCTGACCCAAGAGCATGGTATGGCATAAAAAGATTGAGTGAGCCAGAGATTCCATTCAAAGATGAGAACTAAGAAATGACTGTGAGGATAAGGCTAAAAGATCCAGGAAGGGAACAAAAGCTGGAGAGGTCACATCGCGATGGAAAGCAAAGGAGCAAACCAAGGAAGGTGGACGGTGATGAGGCTGAATGAAGCAGACATAACAAGCAGCTTATGCGACAGAAACAAGAGTCAGTCCCTGGAATTGCCCCAGCTCGTCTGCACCACTGCAGCAAAACCTCCCAACAAGAATAGCCCACCATAAAAGCTCCTGAAATCCTGAGATATGATCAATAAAAATATATATATACAGCCAAGGCAAAGGAGGAATTCTCAGCAAGTTGAAAAGATTTACAGTCATGCACTGTATAATGATGGACCTTTTATGAAGGCCAGACCTCGTATGAAGGTGGTCCCATAAAATTATGGAGCTGAAATGCCTATTTCCTAGTAACGTCGTAGCCATCATAACATGCAACACATCACCATAAGCAGGTGAGTATTTTTACTGTATCTTTTCTGTGTTTAGAAATGTCACCACTGTTACAATTGCCTACAGTATTCAGCATGCTGTACAGGTTTGTAGCCTAGGAGCAATAGGCTCTACTATACAGCCTAGGTGTGTAGCAGGCTATCCCATCTAGGTTTGTGTAAGTGCACTCTGTGATGTTTGCACAATGACAAAATTGCCTAACGACAGATTTCTCAGAATGTATCCCAGTCGTTAAGTGACACATGACTATGTTGCCATTCCAGGATTTAAATGAGCCCAGAACTCAGAGCTGGAACATGGGTCAGTAAGTTGTCATGGAGGACAGGATAAAGGACAAACCCAGGCAGCTGACATGAGTCCACCTCTCTTCATTGGATCCCACTCCAGAGTAGTTGCTGGTGGGTCCGACTCTCAGCATGTGTCACATTGACCCTGAGAGCACTCACAGCTCTGAAAGGCTGCCTCTGTCTTCCCCAGCACCGGAAGGGCCTACTCCATGAGTCTCACAGTACAGATTTGGCCCTATGGAGGGACATACAGTGTCAGAGGAATTGTCTCAAGACTGAGAAGACAGGGCATGCATATTCTTACATTAGATTGGCCACTCTGGGCCAAATTTCCCCACCGACAAGTCTGTTTGGCCCTTTTGGCCTGCACAGTTTTTTAAAAAATTACTTGCCAATATTTAAATGTTGTAACATTTCATAAAGAAGTCTGGATTCCAGCTTCTGTGAGGAAAAAAAAAAAAGAGAATATTTGGCAAACTGGGCCCACAGCATTCTCGTGTGGCACTAACTGGCTACATCTAGACAGCAGCAGCCCCTACAAACAGCATGTGCTCTTTCTAACGCACCCCCGTCCCCATCGTCCCTGATTATATTCCCAACTCGAGACTCAGCACTGGCTGCCTCATATCAGGGCACATGTGCTGTTATAAAAAGGAAAAAGGGAAGACACGCATGTTCCTCACGGTCCTTGTCTCTCATTTATGCCTTGTACAGGCGCTTGAGTTTGTAAACTGTCTGAAATACAGAGAACATTCTTAAATCTCTCTCCCAGTGAAGCCACCCCACTTCAAGCCCTGCCTCTCCAGGAAGATACACTATGCACCACTGTTGCCTGGGCAAATGCAGGAAAGCATCCTAAATTAATCTCAGACGTTAATGGAGGAATAGACTGAGAATAGACTATTTCAGGCCCTTCTTGGAAGAGGGGGTTGGAGTAAAATGAAAACTGCTACTACTCGGACTTTAAAAAACAAAATTTAATGAAAACATTGTAAAGGTACTTCAGGAGAACAAAACTGGGTCAGCCTGAACTTGGGCTCACATGTTAGTTCTATCACCTGACTGTTAGGAAAATAAGTTAAGCTCTTAGAAAGAAAGCCGTAGGGGTGGGGAGGAAAATGAAGTGGCCGGCCCAGTAGATGTCCAGGGCTATCAAGAACCGCCAAGCTCAAGCCCCCTTAGGTTAGGGCTGCTTGCCCACGCCTACAATGTAGGTGGCACAAAATGATTTTCAGCGAGGGTAGCAGCATCACTGTACAAAGGGGCTTGGAGGGGAACAGGGAATTGGAATTTGGCCTTGGCAAACGCAAGACAGAGGAAGAGGGGTGCGCCTTCCTCAAACCCCTTCATTCTGTTGTCACTGGTGCCACATTATGTGCCTTCTAGAGAGACATCGATCTTGAAACAGCCCAGACGTTGCTCGCCGCTGCTTAAGATGCTCTGGACGCGGTAGTTTCCGGTACTCAGCCAGCTGGGCAGGTCCAGTTGGGGCAGAGTGATAATACTCTTGGGCAGTGAGTATGTGCCCTGTGGAAAAGCCAGTGGATCACAGGTCAGGGGGAGCCTACTGATGGGACCCTCCTCCCATTCTCCTAAGAGAGCATGGGATGTTACAGGCTAAAGGGCACTGGAGGTCACATCGAAGTTCAAGCCTCCCGTTTCACCGAAGAATAAACTGAGACACCACCCTCCCCCCAAAAGATAAGCAATTCAACATAGATCACACCAACTGACATCCCTCCACAGACATCCAAATCTGCAGGAGGAAAATCCAAGGACCCTTCTCTCTAAACCCCACGTCTTTACTCCAGCCACGGAGGATCATGCTCTCCTTCCCTAAGCACTTACTTCTTTGAAGGGACAGTGGCAGGGAAGTCCATAGGTGTGCAGGGGCTCCGGGCAGAGCTCTCCAGGGGGAATGAAAGTGTCAAGTATATCACACATGTCTTCATAGGTACAACTACCGGTTTGTTCCACACACGGGACTTTGACCCAGAAGCCAACCACTTCCTTCTGCACCGTTAATTCCACCTGGTGAGAACGCATTTGAGAAAGTGTCAATTCCAAGGCAAACATACCAGCACCTCTGCCTCTTTAAAAGGTCAGAATCTTATGTCAACCACAGAATTTTTAATTAGTTAGAAATTCTAACTAATTTAAGATATCAAATTGGAGATATTCTGATCCAGAAATGAGAATGTTGTGGCACGTGCCCAATTTTACCCTTTCCGTTGCCCAGGCAGACATTAATAATCAAGTGTGGGGTTTTTTTCCTCCCCTTCACAGAACCACACAGTCTTAGAATTCTTTAGGGAGTCACCACCCACTGGTTATATACATAGCTAACAATGACTATGTCATGAGGAGTTAAATGACAGGAGTACATTTACAAGGAGCGCTGCTTATTTTCACATATGTCCATTAAAAATTAATATGTATGTTATATGTGCTTGGATGGGGGAACATTCCAAACACTAGGCTTTCAACATCTTCAAAGCACTTAGTCCTTATCACTAGGTAGTGAGATTTCAGGTTATTTCTTTTATTTCCCACCCCGTTCCGTTTTGACCATTTACGTTTTCTAACACTGACTACCTATCACTTGCTCATTGTTACGTCTGTTTTTTAATTAATAATGACAACACTACCAAAAAAACATTGCCCAACTAGAGCTGTCAAACAACAGTGAGAACTATATCATCCTGTCTAGGAGGCTGGAGCACTCCCCGCCAGATGTGAGGAAGTCAGTCATTTACGTCGTCAGTAGGAATTCCGTCCAATCCTATGACACTGCGATCCTGTGAACCTGAGTACCTGTCTACAAATCCATGCCTCCTTTGCTGCTCTGAGATGCCACTTCTTCCCAGTTCCTTGAGCATATGTCCCTCAGGGCCCCTGCCAGCTGGTCCATGGCCCCTTCCCACCAGCATCTCACCAATGCCACCCACCCCGGACTCACCTTCAGAGGAGCATCGAGGGTGACACTCGTCTGGGTCTCAACACTGACAGTCACATTTCCAGGCTCTACAATGGGGTTAGGTTCCACAGTCAGGCTTTTGATCACCACAGGGTCTTTCCCATCGTCACAATTCTCCCAGGAAAAGTTACTGAACCGAAATGACTAGGGACAATCATGGCGGCAAGAAAAGAAGGGAAAAGAAAAGTTGACAAAAGGAGCTCTCACAGATCAGAAGACTCGACAGAACAGGCCACTGACAGTGTTGACCTTGGGCGAGGTACCTCCCCTCTCTGAGCGTCATCTGTAATTGCACATCTGGAAACCTGGGGTACCACTGTCCTCCTCATTTCATAGGCAGGACTCGGGGAAAAGCCTTGAAAGGTAGAATCTCCCAAAAGTGTGCTCAACTATACATAAAGCACAATATGAAGAGACGAACCATATCTGCCTCTGGCAGGTACCGTCTCTGATCCCCTGCCTCCCTGCTCCCCACGCCTCTCCAGTCAGTTGTGGGATCTCCTTAGAGGGAAACTCCTGGAGGACTCCCCTTTGCAACCATACCGGGGACCTTATTCCCATCACACAGCCCGCTCCTTCCACCGCAATCCAGGGCCAGGAACAACAGGAAACACAAAACACAGTGGGAACCATAACATTCAAAACCCCACCCTCAAGGGGTGTACACTTAACCCAGGAAGGGGATAGGACACACATGAAAAGATTCCCAGTGAGCCACTCGTTGATAATCAATCTCCAATGAATGAACTTCCCCAATCCTAAGTGTTTGCTTCCTCCCATCCCATCACTCGCACCCTGCCCCCACATAACTCACCCTCCTCCCCTCTGCTGAGTCACTTCTCATCCCCAGAGGTCTCCTGATTCCACCATCTGTCCAACTACGCGTGACCACTGACTCCCTCCTCCCACCGAACCCTGTCTGCTGGTCTGTGATCAAACTTCCTACACTGTGCAGACTCTCTGCCTGCGGGCTCACACCTTTCCCAGCCCCCGGAAGGCCACCTGTGAGACACAGCACAGCCACCATGCACATCCTAACTGAAAAGGAAACCTATCAGTCCCACATTCCCAAAGTGACCATAGGGATCATGTCATCAACACACCCACAGCCGACTAGGCCAAAAGGGAACACCTAACCCAAAATGGTTAGGTGACAGATTCTCTCTGCCTCTGATTTGGGAATTGAGATGGAGGCAAAATCACTCAGAGGACTTCGGGCATTGCATTGTCATTGGGTCATAGCTTTGGGATGGGGCTAGAACTCCGAGGCCCGTGATCAAGACAAAGGGACAAGTACTAAGGGCTCTCCTGGGCTGTGGAAAAGAGAACAGATGAACAGATGGCGTCACCTCCCGCTCCCTATCCCTCTCTAAATAGGCAGTGAAGGGCATGGCTTTGGTGTGAGATGTGAGGTAAATCAAGGCTTTAGTCAACAGATATGGGTTGAAATCATAGCTCAGCCACCATATCATGTGATTATATAGGCCAGTTTCCTCTTTGGAGCCCCATTGTCTACATCTTTTAAGTGTAAGCATTTATACTTCCCTCTCAGGGCAATTGTGAGGGTGAGAGCATGTATGGAAAGCTCATAACACAATGCCAGGCCCAGAGCATGAGCTGGCTCACTACATCAACAGCCATTCGACATCCCTGCCTCCACTTCTGCCACTAGTTCCATGAGATTCCTGTGTACCTGGAATAAACTGACCTTTACTTGAGCTTCTTGGAATGAGCTTCTGTCCCTTGGAATGAAACATTGTGCCAAGACCGAGAAAGACAGGACAGGGTCCAATTCATCTCTGTTCCCCAAGGCCCCTTACACAGGGTGGGTGGGAGTCAATAAATGCATCCTTTAACATTCATTCCACAAATATTTATGGAATGATGATCACAGGCCCTGGGCTAAGTGCTGTGTTTCTTTCTTTCTTTCTTTCTTTCTTTCTTTTTAAGTGCTGTGGTAAACTATTAGAAATCTTCCTGCCCTGTCTGAAGGAGCTTACAGTCTCACGTAAATAAATATCACCTACTGTGATTCCTGAGTGCCACAGGGAAACAAAGAAAAAGATTGAGAGTAACAAAGGACTTACTTAAATAGGGTGGTGAGGAAATACCTAAGCTGGACTCCAGCAGGATGAGGGAGGAGCCAGCCCTGTAAGTACAGAGAGAAAGAAGGTCCCAGGCAGAGGGAACACGTGCAGAGGCCATGTGATAGGAAGCAGCTGAGCTGCTCTGGCACTACAAGGCCAGTGGGCTTGATGCAGGGGACGAGGGGCCCAGACGAGGTGAGGGGTGGCAGGGTCATTTCATGCAGGGTCTCACAGGTCATAATCAGGAGGCTAGATTTTCTATAAGGGCAATGGAAGCCCATTGCAGGACAGGGCCGTGCTCTAGTTTATGGCTGAGAACAGCTTGGAGAGGAACAGGAGGAAGCGGCGAGACCCATTAGGAGGCTACCATCAAATGAAAGAGTGCCTGGAATTAAGAGTTGGGCTGGAGGGTAGGTAGGGGGGCTAGCCATTTTGGGGGGCTGCCTTCACAGATTCTAAGGCAGCCTGATTCATACTGAGGATTGATTCCAGGCTGGAGGAAGCACCTAGAGTGCCCTGCTGGAACTGAAGAAGCCCCTCCTCTCTCCGAAGCTAACCCCCCCCCCGGCCCTGCGGGAGACATGACAAGGTCCTATCCCAATGCCTGACTGGAGGCTTCGGTGGCAATGAATTCTGCATCCAAAACAGGAGGTATGGATTGGCAATGCCCACCAAGGGCCAAGCCTAGCATCAGATGCTTGCCATCCCAACATGGGGCAACACAGTGGCAACATGGGGCAACACAGGGCAGAGGGGAAAGGCACAGCTCTGGAGCCAGAAATATGGGTACAAATCACAGGCCTGGGTTCAAATCAGACCTCAGCTGCTCTCACTAGCTGAGACCATGGCTAAGTAAACCCCTTTGAAGTTCAATTTACTCATCTATCAAATGAGCATAATTTTATCTTCTCAGGGCCACTGTGAGAGGGAGAGGTTTGTATACACAAAGTATAGGTCACAACTCTCTCAAGACTGTCAAGCCCATGAAAACACCCAACTGAAAAACTGTCACAGACCAGAGGAGACTGGGGAGACATGACAACAAATGCAACGTGATACCTGGATTGGATCCTGAAACAGAAAGAGGCCATTCCTGGAAAAACTGGTAAAATCCAAATAAAGTCTAGTGTTCCGTTAATGGTAACGTGCCAATCAATGTTGGGTTTTCCAGTTTTGACAAGTGCACCACAGTAAATACGAGGTTAACATTAGGGGGACACTGGGTGAGGCGTATATGGGATCTCGGTACTATCAGTGTAACTTCTCTGTAAATCTAGAATGATTTCTCCAAGAAAGTTTACTAGGAAATAGGCACACGGCCTCACACACAGCACATAGTATGTACACAATAAATGGAAGTCATTATACTGTATCACAGAGTCTGTATGCCCAGCACAAGGCTAGACATTCTCCCCCGTTCTCTAATGCTTACCAGAGCCCAGCATCCTGAGACTGGTTAATGCAAAAAGAGGAACTGAAACTCAGGGCTCCGGATGCTCAAACCCCACCCCACCCCCTCATCACCCCAAAGCCTTCATCTGGCCCATGATCTCAGGATCAGGGCTTTGAATCACATGAGTGCAGAGAAGACCTGCACGATAACAGATGAGGATCGAAAGTGTCACTTGCTGTGTAATCTTGGGTAAGTACCCTCACCTCCACTATGGGCCTGAGTGAGGCGGGTGAATTCTATGATGTCTCAAGGCCTCTCCAAAACTGCCAGTCAAGGACCCTCTGGAACGATCTGGAATGGCATCCATACCCAAGACATACAGGAGAATGGGGATGTAGGGCAAGCTTGACTCCACCTCATAGCGGTCACACCTGGAGCCAAGATAAACATTCTCAAGCGACACTCAGCGACAAACTGTGAATCCTCTGGAAAAATGAGGCCAAAGGTCCTTGCTTCTTCATTCAATAGATAAAACAGACTCCTTGCCCCAGAGGCAGGGTAAGGCTGAGCCCACTGCCTAAGGTTTTAGAGCTTTTCCATCCATGAAATTTCCCTTCACCCATAACCCACAAGACATGCAGGTTGGCATCAGCGTGCCCATTTTACAGATGAAGAAGACTAGGATTCAAGGAGCCCAAAGGCCATGCCCATGGATTACAGACAGGCTCAGAAGCCAAGCCTCCCAGCTCTGTCCTGTTCCAGGCCCCCTTACACCACACTGTTCCTCACTCTAAGATAAATATTTCCAGGGTGGTTGGTCTCTGAATGACAGAACTTCCCTTTCCCGAGGGTCTAAAGCTTGGGGTGAGTGAGAAATAAAAGGGCAAGCTTGGAGGCCGGAACCTCTCCACGGCTCACAACCAGGAGCAGGGCTGGATCTTTTGTCACCAGAGGAACAAGTCTGGACCTGCCGGCTTGGACGGCCTTTCAAACCCACCCACCCATCAGGACAGGCCAAGCCACAGAGCAGTACAGAGAAGGGATGGGTGCCAGGCCTTTTCACGGGGTGGGAAGTGGTGGGCAGGTGAACAGTGCCTTCGTCTTCCAATTCTGTAAAATTTCACTCAGACGTTTGGCAAGAGGGCAGGCGAATACATGAGTGCAGTTAAACCTTCCAAACTAGTTTGGAGCTGAAGAGGGTCTTATAGACCACCCTCACTGTACATATGGGCAAAGGGATTCAGAACAGACCTCCCCAAGATGTGTCACTTTGGCATGTTTCCTACATACATATGTAATTACATTTGTTTTTTTGTTGTTGTTGTTGTTAATCACGTCGATTTGATTATTAGACCAACTCACAGAACCTAGAAGGCAGAGGAAAGCTTCCTCCTCTCCTACGTGGAGAAACAAACCGGGAGAAAGAAAGAGACCCACTGAGAGTCCCAAGTTAGTGACTTTGGGAGGATCTGCTGCAGAGAAGGGATTCTACGGACCGAAGTAGCCACTCCCCGCCATATTCCATCACGACCTGCACGCCCTCAGCGGGGCCAAGATGCTGGAAGCAGCCTCCAGAAAGAGCGGCACTCACCTGTTCCAGCAAGACCTTCGCAAGGGCCTCGGGGCCAGCTAGAAGCAAGCCCAGGACGATCAGGAGCGGAGCCCGCATCAGGGGCATCACGGCAAAAGGTGGGTCTGCGCGAAGATAATTACAAGGTCTGGGGCCAGAGGCGGTGGCTTTAAATGGCTGCCTGCGTTGGTTATGTAAATCTGTGCATTGTTATGCAAAGCTGAGCTCAGCCACTATCCGATTCACCCCGCGCGGTCGGGATCTGGGATTCCAAAGCCGGGAATTGGAATAGATCTCTCCCTATTCCACCCTGCAGAGGTTCCTCCCACCAGCGTGGGCATCAAACCCCTGCGTTCTAGGGGCGAAGGCGGAGCCGGGAGAGAAAAGGAGCCGGACTGAGGGCTAGAGAAGGTGGTGGGGAGGGAAGGGCGGAAATGAGTGCAAAAAGGGGCGGGGCCGCAGCGCGACGGAGGGGCGGGGTTGTCGTTTCTGACCTCGCCCTGTGATGGTCACTGCTGGAGAGACGTTTCTGTTTTCACACCCGAGTCCTTGACAGAAATGTCACTCTTCCTGTGGATATTATGCGCCTCCATACTTGTGTTACGGATCACTATGATTTTAATAATTGTTATAACCATAATGAAAATAATATTTAGTATGTGTTTTAATGCATGTTAAGCACATTTGAGGCAATCAATTTTTACCCCATCTTACCTCTGAGGGAACCTATGTACAGTGAAGTTAGCTTTGCCAAAGTTCTAGGAAGTGATAGAAGCAGGATTCTGCTTATGTACCCCATCAGACAAGATTTTGTTTAATTACTACATTTCGTAGTTGAAGTTTGCTTTAAAGAAGCAATAGGGATATTATTCCTGCCAAATTACCACCAGGTTGTAAAACCCACAAGGGATGAGGCTGTGACTTTTGGTCACTAATGTGTACCCAGTGCCTGACACATAACAATCAATCTTTGTTGAATAAATGAATGTCTGAGTAGAATTTGAAACTTACCTAATCATCCTTTTTAAATATATGTATGTATGTTTTAATTTTGGAATTAATTTTAGATTGGCAGAAAAGTTGCAAAAATAGTACAGAGCTATCTCTCAGTTTCTCTCGTTAACAGCAAGATAGAGTCTTTTTATAAAACCTAAGAAACTGGCATTGGTACAGTACTATTAACTAAGCTCCAGACTTCACTGATAGACAAGTAAAGAGTTAATGGGAGTGGGCTTATGAGCTGGCAGGAACAAGCTTAAACATTAACCCCTTGTCTCTGACTCCCCTGGCCAGCACTGCACCTACAAGCTGACAAGTACCTTATACATCCATCATAGGTAGGAACAGAACAGTTCCTGATCGCAACAGCAACCCCCCCCCCCTGCAAGCTGACATCCATTGTAGATGGAAAAAAGTCAGTTCCCAGGAGAAGACAATTGTTAACAGCAACCCCCCTGCAAGCTGACAAGCACCCTACATCCTGCATGGAAAAATATAAAACCCCAGCACTCCTTCTCATTGGTGCAGTTGTCCCCCATTGGACTCTGCCCTGGCCAAACTTCTGCTGGTATCTCTCTCTTACCCCTTTGTCTCCACAGCTCTCCTTCTCAGACTGCCCTGGCAAAACTTCTGCGAGTTCCAAACAGAACTCTTGCTCTCCTTTTTTTTTTTCATCTTCAAGCATTTTTATTGTGTTCTAATTCTTTAAAAATCAGTAATCCAATTGATTGAGTTTCCTTTTAGGTACAGGCAAAATGTCCATTGTTTAATCCTACACATTTTCTCCAAAAAAAAATGTATACACATATTAAGAAAGGAAAAAACTGTATTGAAATTGTAATACAATGAATGATGCTAGCATTCATTTGATTTGCTCTCCTTTTTTGACTTTCAATAAATCTTTTCTCTGGATACTCTTCTAGTCTCGTAAATCCTTTTCCATTCTGCGAATGACCAGGGGTTAATTCTACATCAAGGCATTTACCTGTTCTTTTAATATGCTTTTTAATTTGCATATCTTCCTCCCAATCTGATAAGCCTTTCCCTCTCTCATCTAGCACAACCTCTTCATTACACACAAGTGCAATTTGAGGCCCCACAAGGAAGGGGACTTGCCCAGTATCACACAGCAGAAGTGGAACATTCTAGAACTCACTTCTCCTGAGACTGATCCCACTGTAGTATGAGTGATGTCTGTGTGGCAGTGCTCCTTGGAGGAATGTGTGGATGGTGAGTGGGGGGAACTAGATGCTGACCCTGGTATGCCCTGAAGCCTCACTGGTAAATATTGGGTTGTCGGAAAAGTCATGACGTATTTTTTTCTATGGTTTTCATTGCAAAAATGCGTCATGATTTTTCCAACAACCCAATAAGAAGGGGATTGCACAGCCTCCCTCCCAGCATCATTCCTTCTCCATCTTTGCACCTGCCAAGGCCCCTTCACCCCACTACCCACTTCCGCCTTGACTCCTAAATACTCCATTCTATTAGCCTCAGGCACACTCCTTCACACAAGAAATCCATGATCCTGGGCAGTAAAAGGTTAATGCTCCTTTTACTGCCCAAGCAAACTTGGAGAACCTCTCAGTGAGTTGGGCATGTTTCTTGGAGATTAGAGTATCTGACATCTCCATCTGAAGGGCTTTGGAGGAGATTCTGGAAGGCCACAGACAGTGACCTGAAACCAGCACCATAACCAAGATGGAAGGGAGAACAGGACAGTGGCTTGCTAAGAGTCAGGCAGCCCCAGGCAGTGCCAGGCTTGCATCCTGTGAGAGCCTGGGTAGGGACCTTAACCCCTCTGGCCTCAGTTTCCTTGTTTGCAAACAAGGAATAATAATAATAACAATAATAACAATAATAATAATAATAATACATCTACCTCCCAGTACCAAGCTGTTTCCTCATTCAACAAATACTTACAGATTCAACAGCTGAACAAGATAAAGGCCCTATCCCCACCCCGTACCCCACAAAGACTAGTGTCTATTTAAGAAGAGCAATCAACAAAAAAAGAAATAAACAAGATATTATCCAAGAGTAATAATACCAGAAAACAAGAAATCAGAATAAATTAATTCAAAGTACAGTGGGTTGCTTTCTTGAATGTGATAAGAAATGTCTTAGGAGGTGGATTTTTACCATCCTTGGGAGAAATGGGAAACATTTGGGGTAAGAGCCAATGAGAAATGTAAACATGGTCAAGACCATCAGGCCATGGTTCCTAGGTAGGGCTGCACAGTGCAGTCCTCTGGGGAGCTTTTAAAAATCCCAGTACCCAGGCCACACTCCAGACCAATTACATCTAAATCTTTGGAGGTAAGACCCAAGCATTGTTTTCTTGTTTTGTTTTGTTTTTAATCCCAGGTTCTTAAAATGTGTGGCCAAGATTGACATCCAGTGATCTAAAGCATACAATAGGTGCACATATACCCTGCATACATGAGAGAGTCAGAGACCCCACATATATGAGAGGTTCAGAGACAGAAAAAGAATATGAGGAAAATACCACATTCTGAGCTCAGGATAAGGTCAGGTGCCTGGGGTTCTGAGGGGAAGGAAGGTCATTCTCAGGATTAGAAGAGCAGATGTTCAATAATTAGGTGTTTGCCCTGTCCTGTAGACAGGTCATAGAAATTTATTTCTGGTGATAATACTGATTATGGACAAGGTTCCAAATTTAAATTCTTTAGGGGAGAGGTGAAAGTTTCTCGTGAGCCCACAGGGTCTCAATTGTCTTCGGCTCAAAATAATCCACATGTAAAGTAACACTATTCTGAACCTGTTCTGAACCCCTTCAAAGGTGATGCAGTGTAGACATGAGAACACTTTGTTACCACCCCATCCCTGTGGGGTTTCAACCCAAATATAGCCTGGACACCTGGATTTAAACCTTGGCTGTTCTTTTTATTATAGGCTAATTTTCAAAACAAAGTGTTCTAAAAACAAAATACAACCAAGTAAATTTGATGATCTAATGACTTTATTAAGCAGTTCATAAATTGGGCAGCATCCCATCTAGAAACTAGAAAGGTTCTCTGTGGAGTTGTACAAAATGATAGGTTTTTATAGAAAAGAAGGGTGGGGCGAAGGCGCCATTAACAAAAGGAAAGGATTATTTTTTAGACCAAGACATCTTCTCTTGGGGGGAAGGGAATAGCAAGTGTTCTTATCATGCAGATTACCTCTTCTTTCTGTGGGGGATGGAGAGGGCCCACTTAACAGATTGCTGGTTCTTGACCAGGACATTTCAGACTGATTAAGATTATATTTCTAGGGAAGGCTGAACAACAATTAGGTCAGATATTAAATCTAGGTTTGGTATCATGGGCTTTAGCACAAATGATGCCATTTTGAGCCTGTGCTTTTCTCTTTAACAAAAGGCAAAAATCAGAGTTCCTATAGATATATAATGAGCACACATTAGAGATTTGATTTAATTCCATCATTGAGGGAATATGTGAGATGCTACAACCAGTGCAAAGAAGACTCCAAAGAACAAACGTATTTATATATCAGGAATATTGACAAAGGTGCAAATGGAGACAAAACTGGCCTTTTCCATAATAGGGGAGAGAAGTCAATTTAACTTCCACAGGACAAAAATTTACATTTGTATAGGCAAATATTATTTTTTATTCTTATGAATTATCTACTTCAGAGGGAATGAAAGACACAGAGCCCATCATAGAACCAGAAGCAGACATGTGAAAGAATATGCGCTAGACAATGAATAGTTTTCCATTGAAGTTCTTACAAAAAAAACCAAAAACGGTAAAAATGGAGTCACTTTTGCTATGTCATCAAACCAAAACTTAATAACTAACCTAATTGCAATTTCAGCCTCTTTCAGAGGTGGAATTTTAATCAGACTGGAATTTCCTGGTCAATACTATTGAGGTAATTTGCCTGATAAGACCCCCTGCCTTCTCCTAGGTGTCTTTGCCTGAAATAATCAACTCTTTTAACTTCCTAGTCCCACCCTCTTTCTGCCTATAAAAACCTCTAGTTTTGGGGCTGGCTGAGTGGCTCAGTTGGTTAAGAGCTCACTCAAGAGTTTGAACTCTGAGCAACAGCAGTTCAATTCCTGGCCTGGCCTGAGCTGAGCCACCAACAGGTGGCAGGATGGCTCGGCTAAAAAAAAACACAAAAAACCTTCAGTTTTGTACAACCCCTGGGAAGCATGTTTCTGCTGCTCACTAGATGGGATGCTGCCATATTCATGAATCACTTAATAAAGCCAATTAGATATTTAAATTTATCTGTTAAATTTTTCTTCTTTAACAAAGCTCCAATTTTTGTTTAAATGGTAATTGTATTTCTGACTTTAGGTAATGCCTTTAACCTCACAGGGCCTTAGTTTCTCTATTTGTAGGAAGTTAAGGTCAAACTAGATCAGTGGTTCTCAACCTTTCTAATGCCGCG